GGCCACCCAACCTTCCAAATGGTAATGGAAGTCCAAGTTGGGGATAAATGACCGCTATGTCATATTGCTAGTAACTTCTCGGCAGGTGATGACCACACTTGTGTGGTTGAAGTTTAATTTGGGGATAAATGGACGCTATGTCATATTGCTAGTAACTTCTCGGGAGGTGATGACCACACTGGTGTGGTTGAAGTTAAATTTGGGGATAAATGGAAGCTATGTCATAATGCTAGATACTTTCCGGTTCCCCCTTGTCAGAGATGCAGGACGGAGGGCCTGACAAGGACAGCTGTCTAGTCTTTCGGATGAGACGAAAAACCGAGGTCCCGTGTATACATTGGAATGCACGTAAAAGATCCCTTGGCATTTGGAATTCGATATAAGAGTAGGCGATAGTGCCGCTGCCCGGGCAAAATTTCCCTCATTGCACACTGTATGGCGTATGCCCGTCTTCATTAGCCTAGCATAGGAGCAGAACAGTAGGACGTTAAACCCCATTTCTTTTCATTTCATCTTTATAATAGGCAGTTATTTATAATAGTATAGTTTCTAATATCATATCTGATGAATAGGTTATCTTTTCGTTTGTAGGAGGGCGTGGCGGCTAAGTGAATAAGACACTGTTTCGCTCGGGAACTGAAATCAGATGAAATGGGGTTTAACGTCCTGCTGTTCTGCTCCGACCGGGCAAATGAAGGCGGGATTACGCCATACAATGCGCTATGAGGGACATTTTATCCAATTTCAACTACCAAGGGATCTTTTACGCCCCGTCCGAACGACTAGACAGCTGTCCTTGTAAGGCCCCCCGTCCTGCACCACTGACAAGGGGAAACCACGCCGGATAATCCCGATAAATTTGCTCGGCAAACACTTGGGTCAAAACTGCGACCTCCCGTTCTCGGGAACTTGTCGGTGATACAAGGACAGGGACTAGTCGTGCGGATGGGACAAATAACCGGGGTCCCGTGTACACATTGACATGCACGTAAAAGAACCCTTTACAGATGGAATCCAATTGCTGCCCGGGCAAAATTTCCCTCATAGCACATTGGCCGGTAGGTAGAGAAAAATAGTGCGTTCTACCCGATTTCTTTTGAGTTTTTAATTAATTTTGGTTTTGTGATTTTATCTATTGGTTATTTGATGTTGTATCGCTATTCATGTTGGGTCACACCACGAATGTGTTCAGAATGAATGCTTGACGTATCTTATTTTTGGCATTGTGAACTGTTGTTGTTTTTTGGCATGGGCACGTGACGTTGTCATAGTAATGATTAAGGTGAATGCAGTGTAGCCGTGTTTGATAGAAAAACACATTCTGCTGTATCATGGTTCTTCGACGTCAATTTCGGATCATGAAATTGCTAAATTATTCAATATTTCAACCACCACCATGTTAAATAGTTCATAAAATATGGGGAGATCACGGTGGCTAAGCGGGTAATACGCTGGCTCGCAAGCCTGGAGGTCGGGTGTTCGATCCCTGCATTGGCCGGGAAAGTTCATCCAGATTTTCCGGCGTGGTTTTCGCTTGTCAGTGATGCAGGACGGAGGGCCTGACAAGGACAGCTGTCTAGTCCTGCGGATGGCACGAAAAACCGAGGTCCCGTGTACACATTGGCGTGCACGTAAAAGATCTCTTGACAGTTGAAATTCGATATAAGAGTAAGCCGTAGTGCCGCTGCCTGGGCAAAATGTCCCTCATTGCATACTGTATGGCGTATGCCCGTCTTTATTAGCCCAGTTTAGGAGCAGAACAGTAGGACGTTAAACCCCATTTTATTTCATTTCATAAAATATGGTTTAGAAAGCCGGATATGACTCATAGGTTTTAACTGTGGATTCAGTAGAGGAAATTTGTCCAAATATTTTCTGAACCATGGCTTCTTTAGTCTGATATGCCGAGTCTTTTAGATATCCATATTATATCGCGAGAATTTATAGGGATTTTAAAATATACTTTAGTGTATTGTTAGATAAGGTTTTTAAATTATATTTTATTTTATTTAGGGAATTAATAGGGTTTGTAAGTAAAGTGCAATTTTATTGTGAGAATTAATAGGGTTTTTCGAGTACATTATATTTCTTTGTGGGAAATTACAGGGTTTATAGGGGAACCAAGGTGGCTAAGTGGGTAGGACGCTGACTCGCTAGCCTGGAGGTAGCGTGTGCAATCCCATACTCCTCACAGTGTTTCGTTTGATTAGAGCTAATCCCACTTAACACTGCTTTAATGGAAGCAAATTTCTGTTCCAAATTATGACTGGTCAATAGTCCGATTAACAACCAATAGTTAACTGTTAAAACAATATCATTAGGCTTTAAACAGGGCTCCCAATTGGACCAAATATGTTTACATAACGTAACGTCATGGCCCGATTAACAAAACAACCAATAACTTACAGCGTAACAATATCATTACGCTTTAAACAGAGCTCCAAATTGGACCAAATATGTTTACATAACGTAACGTCATGACAATTTTATTATACCCAATTAACCAATGTATAGCAGAATACTACAGAAAAACTTATTGCGTGACAAAGGAGGCTATCAATACGGATACAATGTAAACAATACTGTTTGGAGACGAACAATACTTTCACCGTTTTTAATACCTTAAATCACTGTCCTAAGTTTTAGGGAAGATCCCAGATTAAACGAAGGGCTGTCATGTTGCTGTACTTGGGATATATTTGATTGAACAGGAAGAATAGACACACTCCATCAAAAGCTCAAGTATCATAAGCCAATCCAGCAATGGCCAGAGAGGGATTTCTCGGGCCATTGCTTCAGGAATGTGGTGCGATCCCTGCATTGGCCGTGAATGTTCATCGGGACTTTCCGATGTGGTTTCCCCTTGTCAGTGGTGCAAGAGGACAGAGGGCCTGACAAGAACAGCTGTCTAGTCATTCGAATCGGACTCAAAACCGAGCTCCGGTGTGTACATTGGCGTGCACGCAAAAGATTCCTTGGCAGTTTGAATTCGATATAAGTATAGGCCATAGTGCCGTTGCCCGGGTACAATTTCCCTCATAGCACACTATATGGCGTGTGCCCGTCTTCATTAGCCCCATCGGAGCAGAACAGTACGACGTTAAACCCCATTTCATTTCTCAATTATACACAGCACAGTAGGACGTTAAACCCCATTTCAATTCACTTTATATACCATTTACGTATTTTGGGAATTTATATGGTTTTTAAAACACATTGCTGTTTATTTTAGGAATTTATAGGATTTTTAAAATATGTAAATCAATGTTTCTCTTTTGAATATTTATATGGTATCTAAACCGGTAGTGCATTGTGTCATAAAACAAGTAGAACATTTCCACGTTAAACTTAAATAAATAAAAACCAAATGTAATCGTCTAGAACATAATAGTGGAAATGTTTTCACATTAAAGGGACAATAACACTCTTGCTGGCTTGACAGCTCCAGAAAATAAAAAATAGCCTTATTCTAAGTACTAGATGTGTTAGTGTCCTACTTGCTGTGTAAATTATCCATTAAATCCTATTTTACTTGTCCAAAGGGGTCAAAAATATTTTTAAATCCAAGTCACATTTGTAAAGGTTTACGTTAGGCTTTTCAAATCATTTAGTTGAATTTTTCCAATTTTTTAAATTAGGTGTGTTAAGATGAAATTTGTATCATCAATTAATTGGAATATTGTAAAATAGTACAATTTGTTGACCAGAATAAAGATTGGGACATATTATTCAGTTACAACAAGAGTGGTATTGAGCCTTTAACAAATGGAAAATCAAATCTGGTACATATACCCCAGTTGTTATTACTTGGTTATCGTTGAGAATTCTTTCCGAACAATCAATCGCTTCTAATATATGTTCCTTATTCTCAGTTAAACAAACATTATGCAAGAGCTAAATCAGGTCCTTCTTTAGGCCTGAACTATTATATAAACCATTAATTAGACATTTATTAACACGAAAAGACCATAATCAACCCTCGATGCTATCTTATGTGTCGGATTTTCACAGGATTTGAATCCGATTTGTTGCTCAACGCTCATTGATGATTTAATCCAAAAGTATCATACCGACTTTAGTAATGATGATCGAGGCTATACCCAAAATTCATACGCTAATAGCTCGGTTGAGAGTGGAGCAATTGGACAGAAATTTTCAGCAAATCCCATTTACATTATCTAGTTTTAACTATTATAGTGAGAACTGCCAACTCGTTATCTAATCTCCCATAATTTATCTTTAATCTTTTAATGATTTAAAGAATGAAAGGCGACCTTCCGAGACTGTGTAGACATCCGGAAAACTAGTATGATGAAAGTTTTAGAACAATGTGAAATTGATCTTCAGTCTGCGGTTCACAGAATTTAGATGAAAAACAGGCATAATCTATAATAATCAATATTATAATTACGTATTTATTCTTCTTAGAAAGAAGGTGCATAACATTTCCGTTCTTGAAATCTTTATGACGCATCTATCGTAGCAATAATCTCTGTGTTAAAATTATATTTGGAACGTGTTTAGTTCTATCACATATATTGTCCTTATTGTCCTTTGATAAATGTGTAAGGGGGGGGGGCGTTTTCCGATCTACACTCGCCTCTCCAGGCATCATGGAATTGTTTAGCAGAGAGAGAGAGGGGGGAGGGGGTGAGGAGAAATGGAATGAAATGATATGGGGTTTAACGTCCTACTGTTCTGCTCCGACTGGGCTAATGAAGTCGGGCATTCGCTATACAGTGTGCTATGAGGGAAATGTTGCCCGGACAGCGGCGCTACGGCCAACTCTTATATCGAATTCCACCTGCAATTGATCTTTTACGTGCACACCAATGTGTACACGGGGTCTCGGTTTTGCGTACCATCCGAACGACATGACAGCTGTCCTTGTCAGACCCTCCGTCCTGAGAGGAGGAGAAAGTATTGTTTTATTTGTATAGATATCATGCGAGTCGGGTTCGTTAACAGTGGAGGAACACCAGGTTAACCGCTCCTCTATTCTCACAGATAATGGAGCTTACATCGGGCGTGTGCCTATAAACAAACCAAACCTGGACTACTTTTTTACCTGGGTAAACCTGCGTCAATGCTGAACGTTACATGATAGTATAGGTGAGTGTAAGTACATGTTGACATTACAGTGTGGGGTGTACGTCAATAATGTATTAACAACAAACGACAGTCTGTTAAACCATAGACATCTACCATAATACATCGATATACAACCACGAATCAACATGGAGTGTTCAGGAATAATACTTATATCTATTAACATTTTATTTATGGTAAGTACCCTTACTTCTTTAATATACCGTTCATCTTGTCTTGTTAATAAGACATTTTATAATATATATTATAACACGCCTTGACTCACCACGGGTTGGGTAAGATGTTTGAAAGGGTTGATTTAGTGTGGTGTAAATTGACAATGATCTAACGGTTATACTAACCTCTACCCAATAAAAATGTCGACTTGTGGAATGGCCAATTAAACATAAAACAATTAAGTTAAAGTTAATATATGGGTCTGTTATGTTAAAGAGAATGTATGGGTCTGTTACGTTAAAGATAATATATGGGTTCTGTTATGTCAAAGGGAATATATGGGCTCTGTTATGTTAAAGAGAATATATGGGCTCTGTTATGTTAAAGAGAATATATGGGTCTGTTATGTTAAAGAGAATATATGGGCTCTGTTATGTGAAAGAGAATATTGGGACCTGTTATGTTAAAGTTAATATATGGGCCTGTTATGTTAAAGACAATATATAGGCCCTGTTATGTTAAAGAGAATGTATGGGCCTGTTATGTTAAAGTTAATATATGGGCCTGTTATGTTAAAGAGAATATATGGGCTCTGTTATGTTAAAGAGAATACAAGGACCTGTTATGTTAAAGTTAATATATGGGTCTGTTATGTTAAAGAGAATATATGGACCAGCTGTTATGTTAAAGAGAATATATGGGTCTGTTATGTTAAAGAAAATATATGGGTTTGTTATGGTAAAGTTAATATATGGACCTGTTATGTTAAAGAGAATATATGAGCTCTGTTATAAAGAGAATATATGGACCTGTTATGTTAAATTCAATGTTTGGTCTCGTATGTTAAAGAGTACATTATGTCTATTATGAATAATTTCCTGTCCCTACAATATCACAAAATGAAATGGGGTTTAACGTCCTGCTGTTCTGCTCCGACTGGGCTAATGAAGATGGACATACGCCATGCAATGTGATATGAGGGAAATTTTGTCCGGTCAGCGGTGCTACGGCCTACTCTTATATCGAATTCCAACTGTCAATGGATCTTTTACGTACAGGCCAATGTGTATACGGCACCTCGGTTTTTTGTCCCATCCGAACAACTAGATAGTTGTCTTGCCAGGCCCTCCCCATAGTATTGACAAGGGGAAACCACGCCGGAATATCCCGATGAACTTTCTCGGCCAACACCGGAGCAAACCCGCGACCTCCAGGCTAGCGAGCCAGCGTCTTACCCACTTAATATCACAAACATAATTGATTGAAATAGAGAGAGAGAGAGAGAGAGAGATAGAGAGAGCGAAATGGAGTTAAACGTCCATTCGACACAAACTAGGCATTTCGGGACTAATACATGGTTCAATTTTATTTCAATAATTCGATGCGTGTAGGGGTCTTTAGCAGTGGGAGGATTCCATATTATGTTTCTGTTCATTACGTGTGTCAATTGCTAAATACCGCTCAAAGAAGATATTTCATGTATTTTGGATTGTTTTGTTTTTAAGTACAATATTTTCTCTGGACGTAGTAGTTGTTTTTCTGTAAGTATTTTTTATAGTTTATTGCTCTATCCAGTCACTAAATATATCTAAAGCATGAATTTCACATCAGTTGTGTGATTTATATTTAAGTATGTATTTTGAATGTTTTGTTTATTTTAAAGATACATTATGGAAGATTCATAACGAGTTGGCAATTCTCACTATAATAGTTAAAAACTAGATAATGTAAAGGCAATTTGCTGAAAATTTCATTCAAATTGATCCACTAAGCGGTTGAAATTTCCGCCTAGCCTCGGGCATCATTACTAAAGTCAGTACGATAAACATAAACAGCATAGTCTCGATTATCCATTTAATCGATAAATCGTGAAGGAAAGTTATGCAGTATATCGGCTCTTAATCCACTAAAGATCGCAGGCTAGCGATGCCATCTAGAGTTAATTATGGTCTGGATAGGTTAAATGATGTCTAATTAATAATTTAGATAACATTTCAAGCCTAAAGAAATGAAATGAAATGGAATGGGGTTTAACGTCCTACTGTTTTGCTCCGAACTGGGCTAATAAAGAAGGGCATACGCCATACAGTGTGCTCAAGCCTAAAGAAAGACTTGCAATAGACAGATTTAGCTCTTGCATAATGTGTGTTTAAAGTTCAATATTTATTTATAGATTTAAAATGAATGTATTAGTCTATTTTATTACGCTTTTAAGTTGACGCATAGTCGTCGTTATTGTAAAATAAATCTATTTGATCAGAATCACGTGCTAGGTTTACCAATTGAATGGATTAGTTTATAATAGTAAAATAGGTCAGGGTTTAACAGTATTGTCTGAGTATTAATATCAACTCAAGCTTTACATTAACCTACTGTACTTTTAAAAAAAACGTTCTCGGGTCAAGGGCTATACCTCGTAAAGAAATTGACACATTCGTGTGTGAAATTTTAATATCGTCCGTGATGTGTTCATTTAACACAATTAGATTTGTTAAACGTAAATTAAGCAAATGATTGAAATGGGAAACATGTTCTACTGTTTTGCTCGAACCAGACTAATGAAGACGGCTGAAATGGGATTTAACGTCCAACTTTTTTGCACCTACTGGGCTATTGAAAGGCTCCGTCTGGGCTAATGAGGACGGGCATACAGTGTGCTGTGAGGGAAAATTTTGCCCGGGCAGCGGCACTACGGGCTACTCTTTTATCGAATTCCAACTGCAAAACGATCTTTTACGTGTACGCTAATTTATATACAGCGCCTCGATTTTTCGTCACATCCGAACGACTAGACAACTATCAATTTTTCGAATTCCTCCTATCAAGGGTTCCTTTTACCAGGGGCTAAATGAGAGTGACGCAATGACGAGCTTTGCGTCATGGTTTTGGGTTTTTGCGCCCCCTCATAATGATAATGTTTAACCAGTGCCAAACATATACTGTGGGTCGGATATACTACAAATCGATTCTAGCATGTTCCACACAGCCCGATAATATCCGGTGGCACGAGGCAGCTTAAGTTTAATCTGATGCGACCAATTGAGTATTCATTCCTTTATTGAAGATGGGAAATCACACTTTTCCCCCACAGCACACTGTATGGCGTATGCCCGTCCTCAATAGCCCAGACGGGGCATTTCAATAGCCCAGTAGGTGCAAAAAAGTCGGACGTTAAACCCCATTTCAGCCGTCTTCATTAGTCTGGTCGGAGAAAAACAGTGGACGTTAAACCTCATTTCATTTCATTTCCCATTTCAGTTGGAATTCGATATAAGAGTACGCCAGAGTGCCGCTGCCCGGGCAAAATTTCCCTCATAACACACACACACACACACATACTGTATGGCGTATGCCTGTCTTCATTGTCTTCAGCAGAACAGTAGGACGTTAAACCCCATGGCCTATTTCATTTCATTATATTTCACTTCGTTCAATGGCGGAACTCCTCACAAGCAGCAGAGAACATTGTCTAGTCATGATGATGTAAAGAGAAAAACCGGGGCATGGTATATGACGTATACCATTTCTTTTTTCGGACAAATTACACAGAACAGAAATTACTTCCACAGTGATTTATAATTCGGGGGCTTGGTTGGCTGAATGGTTAGCATGTGCGCGCTGTATCATAAGGTCTGTCATTGAGTCAACTGGCGGGGCTTCAATTTCCCGGTTGTACGTGACTAGGAGTAGGGTCCTCCGGTTTCCCACGACTGCTAAAGACCCCTACCCGCAAGCGAATTATTGAAATAAAATTGAACCTTACGTTAGTCACGAAATGACCTAGTTTGTGTCGAGTGGACGTTACCCCCCCCTCTCTCTCTCTCTCTCTCTCTCTCTCACACACACACACATACACTCACTAAAAAACCCAGGCAGACCCGAACGATAACAGACAAACCCGAACGAAAACAGGCAGTCGCCAACGATAATAGACAGATCCCGACCCGAACGAAAACAGGCAGGCCCGAACGAAACTCGTCTGTTCATACAACGCTATGGATGAAATGGAACCAAACTGTATAACTTTGCATTACGCTGTATAAATTTGGATGTTATGTGTCTTCTCAGATTTGAATATTTTGTTTAAAAACCCGTACTATGTTAAAACTTTTTGAGCGATGGACCTAAAATTTGGAGAGAAGTTGTCAAACATCCATATTAAACGACAAGTGAAATATAAATGATATAGGTACAATATTTATTGAATTATTCCACTTTAGATAGTGTAATTGTTTTATAGAAGCCACTAGATATATAGACTATTGTTAAATATTAATGATATATGTACAATACAGTTTGAATTATTCCACTTTAGATAGTATTTTGTTTTTATAGGAGCCACTAGTGACTATATATATAGACTATTGTTAAATGTAAATGATATAGATACAATACTGTTTGAATTATTCCACTTTAAATCGTGTACTCGTTTTTTTCTGGGCTTCCCTGATATATAAATTTGGATGTTATGTGATGATATGCGCCTCCGCCCCTCTCATCTGTCTGATGACCATCATTGATGAAGATAGAAATATTCCAGGTGAGTTAAGTTTTCGTTTCGTATAAATGTAGATGCATTACAACTTTTATATTACCGATGTCGTGGTTTTACTCGTTATTGGAGATGCTAATTGTCAATCTGTTTCACAGAGATCTTTTAATATCTCTGTTACAAATGACTGTTTCGACACGTGACGTCACATCACGCGGCGTCAATCATTGGCATCTCCCCACTCGCTACTCAGTGGTGTACAGTGGTTTGGTGATACCCGGGTCAAACTCCTTGACTGTCGGGTTGAACTCCGAGGAAGACGTTTTCAAGGATGTAAAAGTAGATGAAATAATATTTTTTATTCAAATTAAAGATATATTATGGGAGATTAGATAAAGAGCTGACAGTTTTCACTATAATACATGTAGTTAAAAACTAGATAATGTACAGGGAAAATTTCAGTCAAATTGATCCACGCTGAACTGAGAATTTAACGATTGAATTTTAGGCCTAGCCTGGATCATCATT